AGGCTTCTAGGATTTGGGGTTCTGTCTCATTCTTCAAGTCTGGGAAGTTTTCTCGTATTATTTCATTGAATAGATTGCTCATTCCTTTGGTTTGAAACTCTGTCCCTTCCTGTATCCCAATGACTCTTAAATTTGGTCTCTTGATGTTATCCCATATTTCTTGGATGTTCTGCTCATGGTTTCTTAACAGTCTTGCTGAGCTGTCTATGTTCTTTTCAAGTTGAAATACTTTATCTTCATTGTCTGATGTTCTGTCTTCTAAGTGTTCTACTCTGCTGGTAGTATTCTCAATTGAGTTTTTAAGTTGGCTTATTGCTTCCTGCATTTCTAGGATTTCTGTTTGTTTGTTTTTTATAACCTCTATTTCCCTGTATAGTTGATCTTTTGCTTCTTGGATTTGTTTATGTAATTCATTGTTGAAGTGATCTTTCATTGTCTGATTTTGCTGTCTGATGTCTTCCTTGAGACTCCAGATCATCTGAAGCATGTATATCCTGAATTCTTTATCTGACATTCCATCTGCTGCAGCTATTACCTCTTCTAACGTTGAGTTGACCTGCAATGCTTGTGGTCCTTTCTTTCCTTGTCTCTTCATACTGTTCGCGTTCCTTTCTACTTGGTGAAACTGTTGTGCTATTGAATTTTCCCCCTATATATTTATATTGGTCTTGTACAGTTGCAAAGTCTCCCTCGCAGGTGCGGGCGGCGGCTCTGTCCCTCTGCGGGCCGCTAGGCTTGTTCTGTTGGTGGTCACAGTTCTGTCTACTTTGCAGGCGCAGGCAGCGGCACTGCCCCTCTGCAGGCCTCTGGGGCTGTATTGCCAGTGGGTCGCAGGCCCGCCTACCTTGCAGGAGTGATTGGAAGCTCTGTCCCGCCGCGGGCCACTGGGCCTTTTCTGTCGGTAGTCACAGTTCCACCTACCTGGCAGGCGCGGGGGGTGGGGGGAGGCTCTGCCCCCCAGCAGGCCGCTGGGCCTGCTCTGTGCGTGGTCACAGTTCCCTCTACCTTGCCGGTGCAGGGGGAGGGGGCGGCTCTGCCTCTCAGCAGGCCACTGCTCCTCTTCTGCTGGTGGGTCGCAGGCCCGCCTACCTTGCAGGAGTGATTGGAAGCTCTGTCCCGCCGCGGGCCACTGGGCCTTTTCTGTCGGTGGTCACAGTTCCCCTACCTGGCAGGCGCGGGGGGTGTGGGGCGGCTCTTCCCCTCAGCAGGCCGCTGGGCCTGCTCTGTGCATGGTCACAGTTCCCTCTACTTTGCCGGCACAGGGGGAGGGGGCGGCTCAGCCTCTCAGCAGGCCGCTGCTCCTCTTCTGCTGGTGGGTCGCAGGCCCGCCTACCTTGCAGGAGTGATTGGAAGCTCTGTCCCGCCACGGGCCACTGGGCCTTTTCTGTTCGTGGTCACCGTTCCACCTACCTGGCAGGCGCGGGGGGTGGGGGGGCGGCTCTGCCCCTCAGCAGGCCGCTGGGCCTGCTCTGTGCGTGGTCACAGTTCCCTCTACTTTGCCGGCGCAGGGGGAGGGGGCGGCTCAGCCTCTCAGCAGGCCGCTGCTCCTCTTCTGCCTGTGGGTCGCAGGCCCGCCTACCTTGCAGGAGTGATTGGAAGCTCTGTCCCACCGCGGGCCACTGGGCCTTTTCTGTCGGTGGTCACCTGGCAGGTGCGGGGGGTGGGGGGTGGCTCTGCCCCTCAGCAGGCCGCTGGGCCTGCTCTGTGCGTGGTCATAGTTCCCTCTACCTTGCCGGTGCAGGGGGAGGGGGCGGCTCTGCCTCTCAGCAGGTCGCTGCTCCTCTTCTCCTCCCTTGCTCTTTTTTCCTCCTTTCTTTTTATGGTACAGAGGATTGAACCCAGGGTGCTTAGCCACTGAGCCATGTACATAGCCACTTTAAAAAAATTTTTATTTGAGACAGGGTCTTACTAAGTTGCTTAGGACTTAGCTAAGTTGCTGAGGGTATCTTTGGACTTGTGATTCTTCTGCTTTATCCTCTTGAGTTACTGGGATTACCAGCATGGGCTGCCAGGCCAGGCTCCCTTCCCTGTTTTTGCAGTAATTAAGAGCTACCAGTAATAATAAAGTGTTAAGGCTCATTCCTGTAGTCCCAGTGATGGTGAGGTTGAGGCAGGAGGATTGCAAGTTTGGGGCCAACCTCAGCAATTTAGTGAAACCATGCTTGTCTCAAAATATAAAAAGGACTGGGGATATAGCACACTGGTAGAGCATCCTCAGTTCAATCCCTAACACGAACAAATAAATTGTTTGATGGATTCGTTATTTATTTAGCTGTTGTAATTTAACGATAAAAATACCAGCAGAGATAAAGATCCCAGAGAACAAATTTCCTTCATGATTTTACATGGTAAAAATAACATAATCTGGCCAGGTGCCAGTGGCACACACCTGTAATCCCAGCTGCTCAGGAGGCTGAGGTAGGAGGATCTTGAATTCAAAGCCAGCCTCAGCAGTGGTGAAGTGCTAGCAACTCAGTGAGAGAGACCTTGTCTCTAAATAAAATACAGAATAGGGCTGGGGATGTGGCTCAGTGGTTGAGTGCCCCTGAGTTCAATGTCCAGTACCAAAAAAAAAATTAAAAAAATGTTAAAAAATCACATATTTTCTCCTTCTGATATATTCCCCATCTCTCTCTCTCAACAAGTTTTTAAGCCTTCATATGAGGTCATTGCTTTAACCTGAAGACTCTAGATATTTGTCCCTCACAATGACTCCTTAACTGTAATGATATATAACTCAAAGCAGTGGTCATTTCCTCATTTTGCCATGGGTTATATTAATAATGATAAATTTAGTGAGGCTAGTTTGTTATGGAAATGAATACCGATTTTAGTTTTTATGTATTATCAGAGAAGTGTATACCCTCATTGAAGAGAACTTTGCAAAGTATAGAGAAGCAAATTATGAGTCATAATTCTATTATGTGTAGATATATCATTCATATTTTTCCTAGTCTTTTTTTCTATGCATTATAAAATTAGCTCTGAATTAAATTGAACAATGGGCTGGGGAGTAGGTATGCCTTCAAAAATAATCTCAGATCTTGGTAAAAATTATAGGCAAGGGCTGGGACTGTAGCTCAGTGGCAGAGTGCTTGCCTAGCATATGTGAGGCACTGGGTTTGATCCTCAGCACCACATTAAAAAAAAAAAAAGACAAAGGCATTCTGCTCATCTATAACTATATTTTTTTAAAAATTCACACAAATCATTATCCTAGGGTAGTTTATAGTAGGGAACTTAGACCTCTTATCCAAATAATTAGTGGCTAATTAGTACTGATGGATATCTCCTGAAGGGATTATGGTCTTAAGGTTGGGCTTCAGTTGGAGCAAAGGAGGAGGTCAAGAGTATGTTCTTCAGCCAAAACGGTCGCTGGACTTGGCCAGAGCAGGCAGTCATTTAATGAGTTTTGGCCAAATTTAAAGTCCCTATGACAAAAATGTGTCCCAGACCCTGCCACACCATGATGAATGGTAATTTGAAAACCATGTAATCTTTAGTGTTTTTGAGATTTCATACAGAATGAACAGTTCTTTATTCTTCCTATTTGATTTTGATTTCAGAATACTGTTAATGAATTTCTTTGAAACTGGAAAAATAGTTCTGACTGGTATGGCTGCTCCAATCAGGGAACCCATTAGATTTTGTTTGTAACACTTGAGAGAAACAGGAACTAGCAGTATTGGCAGTGGGCTTCATTGTAGGATAATTACCTTAAATAATCCAATACTTAATTTTAAAAGTGAATTTGTTACCAGATAAGGTCTGAGGAGATCCCCAGAAGAGAAAAAGGGACCTCAGCTCAGTTCTGGCAGGTTCATAGAATGGGATTTGAGGGTACACACATTATTTGGAAAGCATGCCTTATGTGGTCGTATATGCCTGTAATCCTACTGACTCTGGAGGTTGAGGCAGAAGAATCTCCAGTTTGAGGTCAATCTCAGCAACTTGGTGAGACCCTGTCTCAATAAAAAGGGGTAGGGGTATATAACTCAGTGGTAGAGTGTCCATGGGTTCAATCCCCAGAATCAAAAGGAAAAAAGGAAAGCAAGATTTATTCCAGAAAGCAAGCCAAGGTGTGCCAGTATTCCAAAGTGAGCCGTTTTTGGGGGTCTCAGGCTTCCTTTATTTTTTTGGTACTGAGGATTAAACCTAAGCACACTTTACCACTGAGTTACATCTCCAGGCCTTATATTTTTTATTTTGAGACAGCATCTGATTAAATATCTTACGTTGGCCTTGAAATTCAGATCTTCCTGTTTCAATCTCTCTAGTCACTGGAATCACAGGTGTGTGCCATTCAGCCTGGCCAGGTTTCTTTCAAAGGAAACCTTGAAAATGGGGAATATGAAATGTGTAAGGGAGTGGTGTCAGCCTAATGATTGTGGAGCACAGAGCAGGTCGTGGTGGTCTGATTCTTAGAATCTTCAGACTGTACCCATATCATGGGTCTCTAACAATCTCTCTGTAAGCTTCTTTTAACTTGTCTAAAAATATATTCTGTAAGCAATAAGGTATATAAGCACTAATTAACTGGACTTACAGTAGTTTAAGATTTATTGGACCTGTTAAGAATTCAGGCCTGCAAGAAAACAGATGAAGGGGTGAAGGGAAGGACATTTATGGAGTTTTTAGATTTAAAGCTATAGGCCTTCTTTCTTTCCTTGTTTCTGTCCTTTCTACCTGTTCGTGTTTCTTCTATCCTACCTCAAGTTGACATTCTGCCAATTGTACAAAAGAACTTTGGAAGCTATTTTGGGATTTGGCTTTATGTGATTCTCTGTTTATATGCTGTTTTACTATACATGACTCATTCACAGTTTGTTTATTAAGTTTAATAGAAGTTTTAAAATGAGAATTTCTAAGAATATAGTAGATCTTGGGAATAGCTTGACTACTTGTTCCATGTATGGCATTGTTTGGTTGAAATACTAATTTATTCTTGTTACTTAATTTGTAAACAAAATTACTTGTTAACTTAGTTTTTTTTTTTCCAGTTTCTCTTCAGCAACGGGTAGCAGAATTGGAAAAAATTAATGCAGAATTTTTACGTGCACAGCAGCAGCTTGAGCAAGAATTTAATCAAAAGAGAGCAAAATTTAAGGAGCTATATTTGGCTAAAGAGGGTAAGTTTATAAAGTCTCCTCCAAACCCTCAAGCTAAAACTGCCTTTAAATGTTAAGTTTTTTGGTAGTACAGTGTTAATTTTGTCATTGCATAAAGCTTGATTTTATGTGTACTTATAACAAAATAATACTATTGAAAAGGCCTGATGTGGTGGCACACTCTTGTGATCCCAGCTACTGAGGAGGCTGAGGTGAGAGGATTGTAGGTTCAAGGCCAGCCTCAGCAAGTTAGTGAGGCCCTAAGCAGCTCAGTGAGACCCTGTCTCAAATTAGAAAATAAAAAAGGGCTGGGGATGTCGCTCAGTGGTAAAGTATCCCTGGGTTCACTCCCTAGTACACATCCCTTCCCCCCGAAAAAAAAACAAAACTATTTAAAGGTTAGGGTTAATAATGAAATTGAAAAACAAGTGGAACATGCATTATTTTTATTTTTTTTCTTGTTTTCTGATCTTAAGTGTTGATACTTAATCCTGAGACTTGACACTTTCAGTGCTCTTGAACACTTGAGGTATATCTCCAGGACCGTTGGCATTCTAATAATAGTTTTTAATCACGTTATATCAAAACTGACATTTCATGGAATTAATATGACAAATGTTTGGTAATTTTTCAGTGAATACTTAAGTATCTACTCTGAGACATTGTACTTAGGTGCTGGGTATACAGAAGATGCAAGATTCATATAGTTCTTTAGTTGGATTGAATTTAAGTGAGGAAAAGAGATGTAGACTAAATATGTGGAAAGTGTATAGGTAAATATATGAAAGAACATGATAGGGGACCTAATTCAAAAGGTTGGGATATTGACTTATAGCAATATGGATATAGTTTCCATGTCCTACAGACCCAGGGCTCTCAGAGTGTTATTGTAGACAGCATTATCAGCATCACCAGGAAAAGTTGTTAAAAATGCTCAATTTTGGCAGCGCACAGTGGTGCACACCTATAATCCTAGCAGCTTGGGAGCTGAGACAGGAGGATCGCGGGTTCGAAGCCAGCCTCAGCAACAGTGAGGTGCTAAGCAACTCAGTGAGACCTTGTCTCTAAATAAAATACAAAATAGGGCTAGAGATGTGGCTCAGTGATTAAGCGTCCCTGAGTTCAATCCCCAGTATCCCCCCAAAAAAATATGCTCAATTTTGGGGTCCCATCTCACATTTTCTAAGAACTGGGATTAGCATTAGGTTGGTGTTTTCTACAAGCTTTCCATAGTGATTTAGATGCATGCTAAAATTTTAAAACTGCTTTAGTCTAGAACAGTGCTCTCAAACTTTAACTTGGATAAAAGTCACCTAGAGAAACGATTAACCACAATATATTTGGGTGTGGTCTAAAATTTGTATCTATTAAGCTTTACCACTGAACTATATCCCGAGCTCTTTTTAGTTTTTGAGACAGGGTCTTGCTGAGTTATTGAGGACCTCGCTAAATGGTTGAAGCTGGCCTCTAACCTGGGATCCTCCTGCCTCAGCCTACTGGGTTGCTGAGATTATAAGTGTGAACCACCAACCCTGCTTAAGTTGATATTTAACATTTTTAAAGTTTACCCAGGCACTGTGGTGCATGCTTATAATCCCACTTACTTGGAAGCCTGAGGTAGGAGGATTACAATTTCAAGGCCAGCTTTGGCAATTTATTGGGATCCCATCCCAAAATAAAATAATGAAAAGAGCTGGGGATATAGCTCAGTGGTAAAGTGCCACTGAGTTCAATCCTCACTTCCAAAATAATAAATAAACTAATTATTTTATGTTTCAAAAGATATGAACAGTGCTTGTTACAGTAGCACACATACTAAAATTAGAATTATATATGGCTCCTGCAAAATAATTACTTGCAAATTCATGAAGCATTACATATTTTAAAAATATATGAAGTATACATTCTATCATCAGTACATAAAATTCAAATTAAAACTTCATGATTTGAAACATTTAGTGCAATCAAATCTTCAAGGAACAAGTAGTCTCAGTCTTTTCTCCTGGGTCAGAGCTATACAATTTATTTTGTGGGATTACTATAACCTTAATACCTAACAAGAAGCACTAATACTACTGTAACTGACCAATTTTACTTATGATCCTAGAGCTTAAAATCTTAAATAAAATTGATGTTAGTAGTGTTAAAAAACAGTATACTACTAGAAGTGCTTACTATGGATGCAAAAGTAATTTACCATTGAACATCTGTTGATATAACTGACTTCATTAGCTGATTAGCGGATTCCCTTGGATTTCCAGGACAAAAGACTATGTCATTTGAGAATAGTAAATAGTTTCACATCTTATATGACTTCTTTTCCAATATAGATTCCTTTTATTTATTTTTTCTTCATTTCCCCACTTTGGTCTAATGGTCCTGAACAGAACCTCAGTCTAGTGCTAAAATAAATGGTAAGAATGGACATCACTGTCTTGTTCTATATTAGGACGAAAGCATTCAGACTGTAAACATGGCTGATTTTAGCTGTGAGTTTTTCTAGATACCCATTATCAGCTTGACAGTTTCCTTCTATTCCTGGTTTAGTGTTTCTACAATGGAAGAGTTTTGGATCTTATAAAGGTCTTTGTCTACTGGAATGATTATGTAGTGTTTTTTTGTTTTTTTTTAATCTATTGATGGGTCAAATGCTGAACCATCCTTGCATTCCTGAGATATATTCCACTTGGTTATGCTGTGTTATTTTTTTTGGTGTGTGTTGTTGAATTTGATTTGTTGGTACTTTGTTGAGTATTTCTACATTCATATTTCTAAGAGATATTTTTCCAAGTTTCTTTGTTCTAAAGTCTTTTTTGGTTTTAATATCAGGATAATACTCACCTCAAAGAATGTCCCCCCAGTCTATTTTTTTTTTGGCCATAGTTTTAGAAAGTAATGGTGTTAGCTCTGCCTTTGAATTTAGTAATATGTTATATTCAATAATATGCCATTATATAGCCTCACATACATAATAGTGGAATTCATTGCTAATGCTGAATAATTCTTAAATCATATTATGATCTCCTCATGAGGGAAAAACTTAAATTTTATAATTTTATAATTATTATTATTTTTTAATTTTAGTGAGTTGGCTAGGGATATTTCTGGTAAAATAAAGAATCAGAGAACTGATAACAGGCCTTCTTGTTTCACCAGGAGATATATGTTATAGGTTTCTATTACAAACATTGTCACAGAGTAAGATAATTTCCCTTTAGTTACTAGTTTAGAGTTTCCACTACCAAGGAGTATTAAATTTTATTGATTGTCTTTTTCTGTTTTTTTATTTTCAAAAGCATTAACATAAATAATATACTTAATAAAAGTAGTAAAATAAGTTCAAAACTTGTATTCTGAAAACTTCAAAACACTGTTAAGTTAAAGGAAATCTACATAAATGGAAAGACATCCCATATTCATCGATCAGAGGACTTAATATTATTATGAGGCATTATTCCTCAAATTGATCTATAGATCAGTGTAGTATCTTTCAGTATCCCGTATGGTGTCTTTGTAGAAATTGACAAGCTGATCCTAAAATCTGCGTGGAAATTCTAGAGATCTAGAATAGTCACAATAATCTTTTTAAAAAGAACACAATGCAAATATTCACTTTCTATAACTTTGAGACTTACTACAAAGCAACAATAATCAAACATGGCACTAGTATAAGGACAGACATAAATCAATGGAATAGAATTAAGACTCCAGAAATACACCCTTACATATATCATTAGTTGCTTTTCTACAGATGCAAAACAATTCAGCGGGACAAAGATTCATCTTTTCATCAAATTCTGCTGACATTTGGATACCTACATGCAAAAGAATTAAGTTGAACCTCTACCATTAATCCCCAAAATTAGTGCAAAATGCATAAAGACAGATGTGAAAAATGAAAACATAGAGGTAAATCTTTTTGATCTTAGATCAGGCAATATATTTTGTATAAGAGACTAAAAGTAGGAGCAACCAAAGAAAAATCAGACTTCATACCAAAACAAAACAAAACAAAAACCACCACCAACAACAAACTTTTGTGCTTTCAAGGACACCATCAAGAAAGTGAAAAGAAAGGGGCTGGGATTGTGGCTCAGGGGTAGAGCACTCGCCTAGCATGCATGAGGCACTAGGTTCGATTCTCAGCACCACATACAAATAAATAAATTTAAAAAAAAAAAGAATCTCTTTAAAAAAAAAAAAGAAAGTGAAAAGAAAATAAACAAATAGCTAGTAGACATACGAGAAGGTGCTCAAAAGTCATCAGGAAAACAAAAAATTTGAGAATCAGGTATGGTGGCTTACTTCTGTAATCCTAGTGACTCAGGAGGCTTAGGCAGGATTCCAAATTTGAGGACAGCCTCAGCAACTTAGCCACACCCTGCCTTATAATTAAAAAAAGAGGGCGGGGATGGGTTGTTGGGGATGTAGCTCAAGTAGTGTAGCCCTGGGTTTAACCACTAGTTCTGGGGATAAAAATAATAGCCAGATGCAGTGGTGCATATTTGTAATCTCAGCAATTTGTGAGGCTAAGGCAGGAAAATTGCATATTTGAAGCCAGCCTCCACAATTTAGTGAGATCTTGTCATAAAAAAAAAAAAAAAAAAAGGCCTGGTTTTGTAGCTTAGTGTAACAGTATAGCAGAGAAAAACAAAAAAACAAAAACAAAAAATGTAGTGGTGGAATTAAACCCAGAGCCTTGTGCATGCTACACAAGTGAGCCTCATCCCCATCGTTTTAAAACTTTATTTTATTTTAAAACAGATATCCCATTAAGTTGCCCAGCCTGGCCTGGAACTTTGGATCTTCCTGCCTCAGCCCTCTGAGTAGCTAAGATTGTAGGCATGTACCACTGTGCCCAGCTGCTAACATTAGTCTTGTCTTTTTTTTTTTTTTTTTTTTAATGGAATGCTTTATGAATTTGTGTATCATCCTTGTGCAGGGGCCATGTTAATTTCTTCTGTATTGTTCCAGTTTTAGTATATGTGCTGCTGAAGTGAGAATTTATTTTCCGTTTTTTA